ATTATAACTCTGTGACACCTCATGGTGCCATAAAGTAATTCGATCCTTCAGCAAAGTGATTTTTGCATTATGAGCTTTACAACTAGTTTTCCTGAAACTTTTTTTATCATGTGTCTAGATCCAACCTCAGAGAAAGGAGATCCTTCTGCCGAGTGAGGCATTCTGGGTGAGATGGCTGCCAGGTTTCCATGACAGCTATGAAATTGCATTCAAAATTACCGTAGTTTAAAAGAGCAGCCATTCTCCAAGGCCACCTTGCTCAGAATGCCAATAAGGACTCTTTTCCTTACAGTAAGGCATGGGGATCAAGGTGCCTTTTGGAGAGCCCTGCAAGAGCTGAGTAGTTTGGCTGGCTCAGCGAGTGGGGCCCAGGGGCATGAATGTACTGCTCCCCACCCTTGCTGCCCAAAGCTATTGCCTAATGATGGGAAACAGCTTCCTTGGCTCAATAATACCCTTCCACATAAACTACCACCTAGAGTTCAGCCAATTGACTTTGCACACTTTCTTCTGGTCCTTCCTCCTTCCCAAAAGGAAGCGTATTCCCAGTCTTTGGAAATCAATCTCAGTTCTTGGCCGGCTGGCCTTGCTCCAGGCTCATGCGCCCATGACATTTTGTAAAGAGCACTCAGATTTAAGACCATACACTGTCCTATTTTTATCTTCTGGTGGGGATGCATGACACTCTTTGTAGCTCTCTCCTCGACTTCCCAACCGAAGGCATCCAACTTTCCACTCATGAACTAATCTAAACATTTTTTCCCTTGGTGGATGGAAGAGGAGGCAGTGGCGGCAGCAACAACAGCAGCAGAGGCATCCTCTGGCCTTGCACCAAGATTGTTGGAAAGCTTGTTTTGTGTTTTCCGCAAAATACCACGACTTAATGTTCACAATGCTTTACAGTTATTTTCTTATTCCATCTTCACAACAAGCTAGTAAGGTATGTTTTTTCACAGTGTTTGAAAAGACCCCGTATCAGTGAGTTCAGCTATTAATCTTGCCCAGGTTTAGTTAACATTGTGCCCCTCCAGATGCCATTGGATTACAACTCCCATCAACCCCAGCCAGTATGACCAATTGTTAGAGATGGCGGAAGACGGAGCCCAGCAACAATTGAAGATTCACCAATCTTGGCCCTCCAGTCATGCTTCAAGTAAGTCCTAAACTGCCATCACTTGTCATCACAAGGGAGTACTTCAGACTCCCTTCTTGAGGAAGCTAGTTCAGGCACAAAGAGAGCTTAGAGAACTCTTCTTTAGCTTCAATGGAATCTTCCAGTTAAACCCTTTCAGCAATACACATAGTGTCAAGGTTCAGGGAATCCTATCCCTCCCCCGTTGGCAGCCAAAAAAGCAGACAAACACAAAGAGTCCTTACCATGTGATTTATACAGTATTCACAGAGAGAAAGGAATGTAGTCATTATTCAATGATGGCGTTGCTCCGTGTAAAGCCCAACCCCCTGCGTCTCTCTTATCCTACGTCACCCCTGCACCGGCTGATCTGGGCTTTTTACCTCTGAGCTTTCTGTTCTACTACTCTCAGTGCACACCTAGTTCTGGGAGAGTGGGGCTCAAGAATGCTCTCCAAAGACACTGAGTCTGTCAGCTGTCTCTCCCCCAGTGTTTCTTCTTCCTGCTGTTCCTCTTCCAATATTTCCCAGCTTTTCCCCTCAGCTGTCTCTCAGTTATATCCTTCTACAAACCACTGTTCTAACTCTATAATGTCCTTCTGTTCTTGGGAAGGTTAAGGAGAAGGGGGGCACCACTCCTCCTCAGCCCAGCCCTGACACATAGGCATTCTCTATTTTAGTGTGAATTAAACAATTATACTTAACGTAGTCTTTCATATATGTGTGTACAGAAAGCATGAAAGGGTCCCGTGCATTTCAAGTTACCAGAGGGATGCAGAAAACAGGAAAGGGTCTTTGACTACTGTTGATTGGGCACTTTAAATACTATGGCAAGCTTTCAGGTGTGGCCATTTCACCCCCCAAAAAATTCAGCACTCACTTGGCTACTCAGGAACATTTTTGATCTCAATCACTGAATTAAATAATCCATAAACCTGGACAGCAAACTGGCTTCCTGCTGAAACACCAATGGTGTTAACTGAGGTGAATGAACTCTACGGATTCTCTAACAACCAGCTTCTTCAAAAGCACCTGCTGGAGTTTTCTCCAGGGTCAAGTTAACAACCCCGTGTAACAAAAAACCGGAACCGAAGGCTTGATTGGTGGGACTCTGTGCTTGAAACCCAATAGTCTGACTGATGTGTGTGAAATGCCTATTGCACAAGCAGCTCTTAGCACCTAGATGTCACTTTCCGAATATAAAGCTCAGAAATTCTGCACTGCCAACTCTGTTAGGCCAAACAGGGCAAGGTTAGAGGGAAAGCTTTAAAGACGCCAAGTGAAATTAGGATACATCCTATCAAAAGGGCTATTTTGTCCAGATGAAGGGTGCAGATTTTCAGGAATGCTAGAAATCTGCATACTGAGGATGAAGGAAAATCAGGAGTGCTCAGCACTTGAGAAAACCAGTAGTACAGAACACAGAGGACAAGTAAAGAGAGATGAGATGCAGTGAAAAAAGTTTTAACTTAAGATGCAATTGCTGCATTTCAGTTAGAAAGCTGCATTCCTACTCCTAAATCAGAGATGTAGTCACAGGAGAAGCTGATATCATCGTACAAATCTATGGTCTGGCTGCATTTGGATTACTGTGTACAGTTCTGGTTGCCACAAAAATGATATTGTAGAGTTGGAAAAGGATCAGGAAAAGGCCACCAAACTGATCAAGGGGTTAGAGCAACTCTCCTATGAAGAAAGGTTGCAGCTTTGAGGATATTTTTTAGTTTAGAGAAAAGGTGAGTTAGGGATGATGTGACATGACAGATGTCTATAAAATTATGCATGGCATGGAGAAAGTGGATTGCGGCATGTATTTCTCCCTCTCTCATAACCCAAGAACATCCAATGAAGCTGAATGTGGGAAGATTCAGGACAGATAAAATAAAATACTTCTTTACCCAGGGCATAGTTAAACTCTGGAACTCTCTCCCACAGAAGGGAGTGATGGCCAGCAACTTAGATGGCTTTAAAAGCTGGACAAATTGATGGAGGATAAGGCCATCAATGCTTGCTAGCCGTGATGGCTATGCTCTGCCTCTGTGGCCAGAGACAGTACAGTGGTACCTCGGGTTAAGAACTTAATTCGTTCTGGAGGTCCGTTCTTAACCTGAAACTGTTCTTAACCTGAAGCACCACTTTAGCTAATGGGGCCTCCCACTGCCACTGCGCCGTCGTCATGCGATTTCTGTTCTCATCCTGAAGCAAAGTTCTTAACCAGAGGTACTGTTTTTGGGTTAGCGGAGTCTGTAACCTGAAGCGTCTGTAACCCGAGGTACCACTGTAATGTTTCTGAATACCAGCTGCTAGAAGCTTCAGCAAGCATAGTGCTGTTGTCCTCAAATCCTGCTTGTGGATATCCAACAGGCATCTGGTTGGCCAGAACAGGATGCTGGACTATCCCTGATCCAGCAGTATCATTCTTCTGTTAGCCTGGACCCAGTGGGGATATTCTCCCATCTCTCTGTTTTGTTAACATTCATTCAAAATACACCCCACATATGCAGCAGAGGGTATCTAACCTTGACCCTCCAGAGGTTGCTGAACTACCACTTCCATCATCCTTGACTAATGGCTGTGCTCGCTGGGGCTGATGGGAGTTGTAGTTCATCAACGTCTGGAGGGCCAAAGGTTCCGCATACCTGCTCTAGCCAAACTCAGATACAGGGGGAAAATTCAGCTTCCACGCAGCTTCCAGTAAACTAAATAGAGAATTCACCTTCCAAGTGTGGCTTCTAATGGAGCCACGTAATACACTGTGCAGAAAAAATATATATAAAACACAACCACCAAGGAAAAAGCTCTCAAAAACAGACCAATGATGATTGGGCATGCTTAGCCAACACAGTATGCTGAGCGTTGGGAGAAGGGAAAATGGAAAACTCAGTTGGCGGTGGAATAGAATGGAGTATTCTGGGAGAGGGCATGGCTGGCTGGCTGGCTAGCACCCTCAGCAGGAGCACTCCATACTGCAATGATTTGCGTATGTATGCTATGGTGAGCATGTTAGAAAAGGAGGTATAACTGACATGTGCAGTAAATGGGACCCTGTGGACCAGCCAGACGAATTTATCAGCAATGTTTGTTGTTCATTTGAGTGTTAAGCTTTTGCGGGATTTTTTTTTTGTGTGTAAGTATTTTTGAATATTAAATACAAGTTTTCTAATTTTAAAAAAGGAAAGAAAATGACATCGCTGCATGTAATTAAGCACTCCTTGTGGTTGGGGTGGAGGAGTCTGAGAACAGAGGGGGAAATATGTGCTCCCTCTCAAGACATCCACCGAATTTCAGAATCATAAAGAATTGCCTGAGGCTAGTGTGGTATCTTGACACTTACTTGGAGCCACAAAGGAATTAGGAAAAAGTGCTGGAGGCGTGCAGAAAGGATACGTCAACATCCAGAATACGCCATCTCACTTTTATGTCTAAGTGGAGACTATTTTATTCTTCCAACTCATAACAGTTTGTATATATGTTTGGTGCTTTTTCAATTCTTGTACTAAGTTATTTCCCCCTGGCTGACTTTTAGGCAGGTTTCATGTTGATTTTATGCTGCTTGCGTTTATGCTGGCTGTTTAGATTTCGTTTGTGTCTGTACGTGCTGAACTGTATTGTATGGAGCTAGCTTATGCCGTTTTAACTTTTTTGAGGTTGGATTTCCATTCTTTAAATAAGCATGTGAATTGCCTAGAAGAGTTAGGGGGTGAGCGGGATAGAAATGGGGCAAATAAATAAATTAAAATATTGGTGGATATGGGGAAGCATATTTAACAGCACCAAATTCTAACTGTGCCTACTCAGAAGCATCCCCTATTGATTTCAGTGGGACTTACTCCCAGCTTAGTGAAATTAGGACTGCAGCCCCAGATCCTGGATAGCTCAGTTGGCTAGAGTGCGGTACTGATAATGCCAGAGTTGAAGGTTCGATACCCGTATGGAACAGCTGCATATTCCTCCATTGCAGGGGGCTGGACTAGATGACCCTTGGGATCCCTTCCACGATTCTAGTATCGTACCAAACGATCCCTGAAATGTATCAGAGTTGCTATCCATTCAGAGATAGTAAAAATTTGCCCAGCAGAAGATACTACCGTACTTCCAGTCCCATGTAATGTTACCTTGTTTTTAAATTCTTCAGTCTTTCCTCTCACTCTATAATTATATCTCTACACTTCTCAAACAGAAAGACATAAAAGCGAGTGCTGGGAGATGGGAAGAAAAAGCAGATAAAGTCAAAAGAGGGAAATGCAAATGGGGTGGAGGAAAGCATCAAAGGAAAAAGAAAGACTGTTTGTGAGTATACGTGCTTTCATTCTCTGCCTTTCTTCAGGGGGCAGAAATATTACCTGTAGCACCTGGTGGGGGTACAAAAGTCATCCCTGTAGTACCAAAACCCATCTAAAGCAATTTGGGGAAAGAATGGTTTATTTTTGCCTCCAAGCACAAGCCCAGAGAAAGGGACAAATAGAGAAAACGAAATCAAAGGGGCCTGATATATTAAAAAGATGCTGTCAGTATCAGATCAAGGATCCATCTAGTCCAGAATCTTATATTTATTATTTCCATTTATAAATTGCTTACATCTGGAGATCTCAAAGTGGCTTACAGTACAAAGAAAACACACATAAATATATACAATGATTTACATTATAAAGACCAAACACCTAAACACTATCCATAGCCACAAAATCAATATTCGTCAATACAGGCAAACAGTGCTCAACCTGGATAGCTCCAGGTACACAAGAAGGGATAGTTCCTCTCCAGCACCTGATATTCAGAGGTTCCTGAAAATTGAGTTTCCATGTAGCTATTTATGACTAAGAGCTCTTGGCAGCCATAACCTTCATGCATATATCTAATCCAGGGTTTCTCAAACTTGGGCCTCCAGCTGCTTTTGGACTATAATTCCCATCATCTCTGACTACCAGTCCTGCTAGGGATGATGGGAATTGTAGTCCAACAATAGCTGGAGACCCAAATTTAGGAAGCCTTGATCATATTCTTTAACAATTTGGTGGGTCAGGACCCACTACTGGGGTTGTGTCCAGGAGAGAGAGAGAGAGTTTGAATTTTATATCCTGCCTTATCACTACCTTAAGGAGTCTCAAAGCGGCTCACAATCTCCTTCCCCTTCCTCCCCCACAACAAATCCTCTGTGAGGTGAGTGAGGCTGAGAGACTTCAGAGAAGTGTGACTAGCCCAAGGTCACCCAGCAGCTGCATGTGGAGGAGTGGAGACGCGAACCCGGTTCACCAGATTACAAGTCTACTGCTCTTAACCACTACACCAAGCTGGCTCTCAGTGCTGCCAGATCTGAAAGGGGCCTTGGCAAGGGCCCCTCCATGCCACCCTGACCACTGTCCCACCTCTGCTTTCTCTCTGCTGCTGTTGCCACCACTATTTCTCTCCCCCATGCTTCCCGGGGCTGCACTGCCTGCCTCGTTATGTGGTATTCACATTCTCCTCTGGGCCCAAGATCACCAACCAGACCCATAGCCAATTTGAAAATGAAATGGAGAGGAAGTAGGGTCCTAGTTCCCCCTCAGCTCAGTTTTCAAAATGTCTGCCACCACTGAGATTTCAGTCAAACCACCACTCGGAGCCACATTTTGTACCGTGCATTTTTGCCCCTTTATGCAGTTCCTTTACAAGAGGGATAAACAGCAGCCAGGGATCTCCTCAGTACATTTTGCTCCCTGAGGCGAAGGAGATGATGGTGCCTCCCCCATCCCATGTATAGAATCTGACCAGGCTGGCAGGGACAGCTCTACTATGAAACTTCTCTTTTTTTTTTTTAATGATATTTATTAAAATTTCAAAGAATACAAGAATTACACAAAAACAAAAAGTAAAAATACAAGAAAATATAACAAAGAAATGAAAAATAAAAAGAAACATACAAAATAAGAACAATTAAAAACACATTAATTTTCCATAGCATATCTTCCTTACACTTATTTCCCCGGACCTCCTCATACCTCCCTTTTTTGTATTCCAGTTCAGTTTGTTAGTTCAGCAAATCCTTACCATTAAACTTTTACCCATTTGTGAACCTTTTTTCATATCTCTTAAAGCATTACAGCTGGAAACCACTTAGTTTCTATCCAACATCCTTCTAAGATTCATTAATTTTACAATATTTCTGTAAGTAGTCTTTAAATTTCTTCCAGTCTTCTTTCACCGACTCTTCTCCCTGGTCTCGGATTCTGCCAGTCATTTCTGCCAATTCCATGTAGTCAATCACCTTCATCTGCCATTCTTCCAGAGTGGGTAGATCTTGTGTCTTCCAATACTTTGCAATGAGTATTCTTGCTGCTGTTGTAGCATACATAAAAAAAGTTCTGTCCTTCTTTGGCACCAATTGGCCGACGATGCCCAGAAGAAAGGCCTCTGGTTTCTTTAGGAAGGTATATTTAAATACCTTTTTCAATTCATTATAAATCATTTCCCAGAAAGCCTTAATCTTTGGGCACGTCCACCAAAGGTGAAAGAATGTACCTTCAGTTTCTTTACATTTCCAGCATTTATTATCGGGCAAATGATAGATTTTTGCAAGCTTGACTGGGGTCATGTACCACCTGTATATCATTTTCATAATATTCTCTCTTAAGGCATTACATGCCGTAAACTTCATACCTGTGGTCCATAACTGTTCCCAGTCAGCAAACATAATATTATGTCCAACATCTTGTGCCCATTTAATCATAGCAGATTTCACCGTTTTGTCCTGAGTATTCCATTTCAACAGCAAGTTATACATTCTTGACAGATTCTTAGTTTTGGGTTCTAGCAGTTCTGTTTCTAATTTTGACTTTTCCACCTGGAAGCCAATTTTCTTATCCAAATTATATGCCTCCATTATCTGATAGTAATGAAGCCAATCTCTCACTTTGTTTTTTAGTTTTTCGAAACTCTGCAATCTCAACTTGTCTCCTTCTTGTTCCAAAATTTCCCAATATGTCGGCCATTTGGCCTCCATATTGAGCCTTTTCAGAGCTTTTGCTTCCATTGGTGACAGCCACCTTGGGGTTTTATTTTCCAATAAATCTTTATATCTTATCCAGACATTAAACAATGCTTTCCTGACAATATGATTTTTGAATGCTTTGTGTGCTTTGACCTTATCATACCATAAATATGCATGCCATCCAAATACATTGTTAAAACCTTCTAAATCCAAAATGTCTGTGTTTTCAAGAAGTAGCCATTCTTTCAACCAGCAAAAAGCTGCTGATTCATAGTAAAGTTTAAGGTCTGGCAGGGCAAATCCACCCCTTTCCTTTGCATCTGTTAGTATCTTAAATTTTATTCTGGGCTTTTTGCCCTGCCAGACAAATCTAGAAATATCTCTCTGCCACTTCTTAAAACAGTCCATCTTGTCCACAATTTGCAATGTCTGAAATAAAAACAACATTCTCAGCAATACATTCATTTTTATCACAGCAATGCGGCCCAACAATGAAAGTTTCAAATTTGACCAAATTTCTAAGTCTTTTTTCACTTCCGTCCAACATTTTTCATAATTATCTTTAAATAAGTTCCCATTTTTGGCTGTCATATTAATCCCCAAGTATTTCACTTTCTTTACCACAGTCAAACCTGTCTCATTCTGAAACCTATCTCTTTCAGTCGGTGTTAAATTTTTCTCTAAAACCTTAGTTTTTAACTTGTTCAATTTAAAACCTGCCACTTGACAGGTTTTGACAGATCTACTATGAAACTTCTCAGCAGTGGCGCCCTCCCTGTGGGACACCCTCCCTTCAGATGTCAAGGAAATAAACAACTATCTGACTTTTAGAAGACATCTGAAGGCAGCCCTGTTTAGGGAATGTTTTTAAGGACAGGTGTTTTTATTATGTTTTTAGATATGTTGTAAGCCTCCTAGAGTGGCTGTGGAAACCCAGCCAGATGGATGGGGTATAAATAATTAAATTATCATTATTATTAATCTTAAGCTTCAGGGCCCCTAATCCAAGAGCGGCCCCAGAAGCAACTATAGTCCACATTGCTATAGTCCAGTGTAGTCCACAGTGTTTCATGCATATATATATATATATATATATAAACATTTCCCTAATTTTCACACACACCGCCCATAACTTGAAAACTGTAAGGCATTCACACCAGTGACTTTGACATGTGAGATTTTAATCTGAGGCATAGTAGTTTGTTTGTTTGTTTTTAAAGTGGTGATCAGTCGTGGAACAGCCCCACTGAAGAGGAAAACAGTGGTAACCCAGACATTGTTGGTTGCGAAGAGGCACCCATAGCAGTTCATGGGAAGAACACTAAGGGTGACTTGCTTTTTATGCTCCAGAGCTAAGGATTTAGGAAAACTAAGGTTGCAAGGGGCTCTATTTAGGTACATTTGAACTTCAAGGAAAACACACCTTAAGGCAGTCTGGAAGAAGATATCGGAGCACTTCAAATCATTTACCTATGTATGTGCCTGGAAAATAATAGCTCTAACTGAATGGTAACACATGGAGTTTTATGCATTTATCATGGCACTGTATCCCAAATTATTATTATTATTATTGCATAATCTTGGAAGATTGTATAATCCTAGAAGGGGGAGAGGCTTTGAGGGAGTGTAACTATCATGAATGGACACTGCATTTCTGAATTTTCCACTACATTACTGCTGGAATTGGTCCAGAGGGGCAAAGGTGATCAGCAGTGAAAAAGAGATGGAACCATTCAAAGGCGCCTCAAAATCTGGCCATTACTGGCAGAAAACCTGCTTTTCTCTCCTTTGTCAAGGTCTCAGTAACCCAGGCATTATATTGTTCCAGGAAACAGGCAGGACATCTTAAAGAAATAGAACAAAACACGTCTAAGAAATCTGGTTTCGTTTTCCCACTCTTTCCAATAGTCTCTCCAACAGGAAAAAACCCATAAAAGACCATAGAAGCTTCTGGCAGCCTACTGACATTTGA